AAACCATAAATGTGGCCAAGTTTGTAATAGTGTATCCTCTTACCCTTATGATTCTTCATGGCTTTTTAGAGGCTTGGATGAAGAACCCACTCACCTTTTGCATTAATTATTTTTCAGGGACATGAGTAGGATGAAACAAAATCATACTTAGGCATCTAAGTCCATTTACATGCTTAACAGGTGGAACAGAATCTAGCCCAAACTGTTTTTCATTCAGGGCAATTGGCTAAACCACAACTGTCTCTGAAGGTAAGCAAGGCTGTGACTTAGAGATACTACCATGGGTGATGGGAGGAAGGTGGAGGTTAGGGAAATGTCTTTGTACTATATCTTTTATTTCTTTTGGGATAACTGATTAATGCCAGACATTTACCTTTACTCTCTTCTGAGAATTTTGCAATTACTTACCTTTTTCCCACAGCTAAATTAAAGGGGATACTGGACAGTGGATCTCCCTGCCTTCACAGATATCAAATGAAACAGAGATTTCAATTGCTACTCATACTGAGTCACAAAAACAGTTGCACCATCCTAACATTTAACAGAATGTTGATTGTATCATTGTGACTCAAAAACCATCTTACAATCCTATGTTTTCTTAAAATCCTTAAAATCTAGGTATGCATTTGGATTGCATTCTCTGAAGAATTAGTAAGCAGAAAATACTGTAGCCACAATGGGCCTGTTTTTTTCTGACACCCACACTGTTACTCTCTTACTATGTCTTCTGTATAATGAGTTTATCTGTATAAAAGTATCAAGCATAGGATTTCATCTGTGATAAGAGAGGAAAGACATGATGCCATACCCCCTTTCACTACAGTTCTAATGCTCCATTTTGTTTCCCCTTATTTAAACTGGATGTATGATCAACTCTCCTTTTCAGACTTCTAAACCTAAAGAATCACTCAGAAAAGTCTTTGATTTAACTTACTCTTTCCTATGCTTGATAATTCAGAGGGACTGTGATCAGCACTTGATGCTTTGTGGGGTATGAATGTTCCAACTGGCCCTTAATTATGTCAGTTGCAAAGACCTCCATTTTCTTCCTGCATGATATTGGCTTGCACATGATACCCTTTCCTCCATACATCAGTACTCTTGTGGTAAGCCCTCATGTTTTAGTACGTCTTGTCCCTCATGATGTGGAAGTATTCATATCAAGAGGTATGCTGGTGGTAACCTGGCTGCCTGTGGGCACGTTTACATGAGACGTTTACTGCAGAGATGCCTAATTAGCTCCACAGTAAAGTCTCCATGTATACACAGCCCTTTTAGGCTGTGGTAAACTAATTAGCTCTGATGTAGGTTAGTACTTATAAATACAAGTACTATCCTGTGATGGTATTCTTTACTATACGGCAACACGTGTAGATGCTGATGGGGCTGGCTGGGGCACATGGGTGTTTCAGTGCAGGGGCTGCCTGCTGGCCAGCCTTGCACTAAAGCACCCTTGTGCCCCAGCCAGCCCCTCCACAGCATACTGAGCCAGGTCAGAGCAGCCTTGGGCTGGCAGACTGGCCCCGCTGACCTGCTGCCAGCGGGGGCTGCTCTGACCTAGCTCAGTGTGCTACAGTCCTAGGTGCATGTGTAAATGTAGTGCCTGGGAGCAATACTCTAGATGTGATGTGTGCCAGAATTTATTGCTTCACATTAATTTCACATGTAGATGTGCCCTGTATGATCTTCCAAATTAGGCAGTTTGAAGAAACAAACCATTGGATTTCCAGGTTGAACACCTATAACTTTGAAAAAGTAGAGGGGCTGAGAAAGTCCTCATCTTCTTCCAGCTGGCCTTCCTAAAACTATGGTCTCCTGCTTATCAGCCCCAAGTGAAAAGCAGTAGTGTTTGGTTATTCATACTTTCTCTCAAAAGAGAAACAAAGCCCAAGTATGCCATCACATTCTTATTCCCAAAGTTGGAGGTGGAAAAGCAGCCCTAATACAGGTGGCAACTGCTTGGGACTACTGAGACCATTGAAACTAATTTATACACACCTCTCTTCTGTCACTAAATCTGTGGTGATGAATTCTGCGAAGCAGGATCTGTTTTGTATTGCTGGTCTGTTTAGGGTGTAAAACCAAAGGCCCCCAGTGATACTGCCTATACTGCAGCAGCACCTAATAACTTCAAACAACAAGCCAAGGTCCCCCCCTGAAAAGAAGATGGGGAAGGCAGACTATAGTTGGTTGCGTATGCCTTCAAAAAAGGACTTCCATAAGTGGGCTACCACTGCTATACTGTATTTGTTATGATCACCATTTCAGACATCAGAAGTTCAGACAGAAAATTTCTGTGACAGCAGGAGCATGGATGACATTGTTGTCTTCTCCTGACAGTCATTTGAGCAGATGTGTTTTCTTTGTTTAATTCTTTAGCAGCGCACATTTTGCTTCAACCACCAGACAGCCTAAACTAGTCTCTGGTGCATTTATAGTTATTTATTTCCCAGGAATGTGCAGACTCTCTCTCTCTCTCTCCACAGAAAAGCCTGATGCTGCAGCAGCCGCCAGCAGCACATTCCGTTGTCCACTGCCAAACACAACGTGTTGCCACAGGGAAAAAAAAATCTACTACTTTTCCCTAATATTTTAAAACAATGGCTAAGGCCATTCTTTTTTTTTCAGTGAATTCATAAAGAAATACACTTCCATAAAGTTAAGCATTCCCTCAGAGCTGCTCATTTAAAAGAGGAGAGGGAAGAAAAGCATATTAGAACAAAGCATATATACAGGAGGACAGAAGGGACCTTTAGTCATCTACTCTGACTTGTGTAACACTGAACTTTATCTGGTGATGCCTGCAATAGAGGAAATTATTCTTCCCCTACTATACAAGTGAATGCTGTTGAGCCAAAATAAAGTAAGATTATGATAATTTCTTATGAAAAGGTCATGCTTTGTTCAAGGAAAAAACCTTGGCTTCTCCCTTCCTTGAAACAGGATGCAAACAAAAGCAAACCCTCATTTAAAGGGACCAAAGGTAAAAAGGAAGTTGGTGAAGGAAATAACATGTTTTTTTCTAGTTTTTAATCTATCATGTGGAAAACAATTTAAAACTGCATCACTATCGTGGGATCCTGGAATAGTGCCTGTTTTCCTCTCTCCTTGTAGAAATTTACTAACAAGATCATAAATAATAGTGTAGCAGTTAACTGCTACAGCAGACTCAGTCTCCAAGGACAGGCTGATAAGACTCTGCAATGACCGAATCCTATTCACTTTGAAGTCTGAAGTAAGCAAAGATATACTTTTTCTCCCTATTAGTTAGTCTTTCAAAACAAACATGTAGCCAAAAACCAGTTTTGAAACAATTAAGAATTTTCTCACACTGACCTGATATCTCGTTTTCTTACACGGTGGAAAATTCCCACCTGTGCGTGCATCTTGTCTGTAAACTATAAATCGCCTCTAACAGTTTTATTCCGGGCCTCTGAGCTCACTCAGGGTGCCCAGCATGCTGAATAAATTTTGAGATTGACAGCGACTCTGTGTCTTTGGGAATAGCTCCGCAAGGGGTCACGAACTCCTCAACATCCTTACGCTGGAATTAGGAAGCCAGGCCTGCTTTGCATAAAGATGCAAGACCCCAAAGCACAATTTTTGTTGTTCTGCAATTCATTACACATTCTTCAGCCTTGCATCAGCATTCTTCACTGACCCTCTGTGCAGCACATCCCATATTTTGTTTTTCTATAGCATTAAATGAACACATACACAAAAATTACTTTGAATAAGAACATTATTCTTCAGGTACTTGCCATATGATAGCATAAGGTTTGAAAGCTGAGTTTTAGTGAAGTCTTGTAAATGTATTGTACATATCCTTAAGTACAGAAAAGAAGAAAGTAGATTGTCTTGGTTTAGTTGCACGTAAACTCCACAGAAAGCAATTGCAAGTATCCATAGCTGGCTCTGAGAATTAATTTCTGTAACTATTTTACAAAAAAAAAATTGTTTAAAGACCTGTTGGTATCCAGAATGAGTAGAAAGTCAAAACCGTGTTAAGCATTCGCAACATCGCTTATGTCATTCACTTTCTTTTTGAAAGTATAAAAAAGATAGCCAGTATTTTTATTTACACACACACACACACACACACACACACACACACACACACACACACGTCCATTCTTATTAAAAAATAAAATAAAACTCACCTGGGATCAAAGGAAACACTGCAGAATTTAACACTTATACATACTGCTACATCAGTTAAACTAATTTAAGCATAATCCTTTGCAGGTCTGAGGTCAGCTAGAGTTTAAGATGTTTGGCACTTGGCAGAAAGTGCTTAGTACTTCTCAGAATCAGGTCTGTACTCAGCTTTAGTTGCTATTCTTAACAGCCAAATTAATCAGCCAATGAAGTCAATGGAATTGCACCTGACTACATCAGATTGGAATCTGGCCTCTAATTCATAACACTGTTTTCATTTTTATAACTTCTTCCACAATAACTTGAATTATTTTGCTTTCAGCTGCACAATATTAGTTTTGTAATGGAACTCATAATAACTCCTGTCACAGTTCACTTTAATCACACCATACAATACTGACCTGCATTACACAACTATCTCCCGCAGCTACTTGCTCCTATATTTTTCTAAGAATTTATTGAAAAGCATAACCTGGTATCAGCTCAGTGCAACCTGAAGACGAAAGCAATACGCCATAAAAGAAAAAGAGGATGTTCTTTATCGGATTACTCAGGAATTCCTGAGACCAGACCAGAGATAAACAGCTTATGTAAATATTTCCACAATGCACAGAAATAGCCCTAATATTGTTTATAATAAAAACAGAAAAAAAGATTATTCAAAGGCACAAAGGCAATGAGTTAAAGAGATTAATTACTATAGCAGTCTTTGCACCTCTCTAGAAAGATATACCAGCCTGATATCTAATACTAGATCAAATATGAGAAGATCCCAGCACTTCCTCAGCTTGCCTTCATGCTAAGCCACATTATGCTGCAGAGACCGTTGCTCTTAGTCTAACCTGGAGTTCCCTCTGATGCACTGGTAAAAAGTAGTCATGTTTCCAGTCCCAGGGCCAGTCCTTCTCACTCATCCTAGCAACAGTTGGCAGTAACGAGAGTGAGTGATACAGCAGATGCAGCAGCAGTCTGACAAAAATGTAACTCCTCAGGAAAAGTGGGCATCTTCCCATCTATGCCTCAGTCCTTGCCACATTCTTTTTCCAGGTCTCTAGCTACATCTTTCCCAGTGCACACACATGCTATTCAGGAAGTGGTGCCAGCCACTGCCAATGCAATTTCAACCAGCTGAAATCTCCGCAGGCAACAAGAGTTCACTTACTTGAACAATAACTATCCTGTAAACGCATTCCACCCTCTCTCATACCACTAAACCTCATGGGCCAAATGCAAAGCTGAACAGGCTCCTGTTTAACAGCTTGCACTATGCTCCCTCTAAAGAGAACTTTTAATGAGAATTAC